AAATCAAATTGTAAGGGAGGAAGTGAATAACAAAGAAACAGAGGAAGCAAAAATGCAAAGAGAAACTACTATTAGAGAAGAAGAAATAAAAAAAATGCAACTCATGCAAAAAGAAATTGAGTTGCTTAAGAAAGAGCGTGATCTGTTTAAAAAAGAGAATGAATTGACAAAGAAAATGACTCAATTACAATTAAACACTTCGAGTTTAAGCGAATGTAAACATTCAGTACAAAGAAAAGAAGTACCGCTCATAATATTAAAAGAATTTTTACCGGAATGCGATGGTAACAATTTTAATGTTTGGGTTACGCAACTTGAAGCGTTAGAAAAAGCTTACGAATTAGAAGACAATGTAGTTCGAACACTTATTATAACGAAAGCAAAAGGTAGAGTACAAAATTGGCTCCACTCTACACCAAATGTTCTTACACAAAGCAGTAAAATATTGATCGAACAAATGATTTCCGTATTTGGCTCAAAAGAGAGTATTGTTCAATTGCGTCGCAAATTTGAAACACGTTTGTGGTCCGATGATGAAAAATTTGTTGATTATTACAACGATAAAATTGTTTTATCATTACTGATAAATATGTCGGAAGAAGAGTTAGTTGAATACATTGTTGATGGAATACGTGATCCACAACTGCGTATGCTTGCAAAAATGCAGCAGTTCAAATCAAAAGAAAAATTGGTAGCAGCGTTTGGCGATGTTAATCAAAATACTGCTAGGACAGTGTCGACGAATGAAAGGCGTGTAAAGCAAGGCTTAAGATGTTTTAACTGCAGTAATACTGGGCATGTTGCCGCTGAGTGTCGTCAACCGAAACGTCCATTCGGAGCTTGCTATGGATGCGGTAGTTTGGAACACCGGGTTGCAGTCTGTCCCAGTAAAAAATTCAACGCCAACGAACAACAAAATAATTATGTAAGGTATTTTCGTATGTCAATTATAGGCTTATATAAAGTATCCTTATTTCTAGAATGCCTAATAGACTCTGGCAGCCCAATTAGTTTTTTGAAAAAATGTTGTGTACCGGAAGCGGTAAAGTTAAATGAAATTTCGAATGTAGAATATTTTGGCCTTAATAAAAGTAAATTAAAAATAGTTGGAGAAATAAGTTGTTTGATATTTTTGAATAAAAAAAATGTAATGATTAAATTTTATGTAGTTGCTGATGATTCTATGGGCAGCCAAGCAGTCTTAGGTAGAGATTTTTTAAGAAAAAGCAATGCAAAGATAATATGGAAAAATTGTTGTAAAGATCAGCCAAAAGAAAACAGTAGATTTAAATATCAAAAAAATATAAAATTAAGTGATGACAGTAATTGTGACGATGCAAAAACTTTTGAAGAAAGTATTTTAGCAATCGATATAAATGATGAACATAAAGAAAAATGTAATATTGGTCCAGAAGTGTCATTTAAAACAAAAGTGTCGTTAGAAGAGTTATTTACTAAATGTTATCTGACACCAGTGCGTCCAAAAGAACCCGAGATAAAGTGTGAAATGAAGATCAGTTTAGATAATGTTAAACCATTTAATTACTCCCCAAGAAGACTTGCATATACAGAAAAAGATGAGTTACAAAAAATGTTAGATGACTATACGTCCAAAGGTATTATTAAGGAAAGTGAGTCAGAATTTTCTTCACCAATTGTGTTAGTGAAGAAAAAGACAGGCGAATTAAGAATGTGTGTCGATTATCGTACATTAAACAAAGTAACATTAAAAGATAATTATCCAATGCCCTTGATAGATGATTTATTGGACAAGTTAGGTAACAAAAAATGGTTTACGAAATTGGATTTGAAAAATGGGTTTTTTCATGTGTATATGGATAAAGAAGCTGTTAAATACACAGCTTTTGTTACACCGTTAGGTAAATACGAATTTTTAAGAATGCCGTTTGGTTTGAAAAACGCGCCTTCGACGTTTCAAAGATTTGTAAACAAAATTTTTGCTGATATGATTAAAAATAATAAAGTGATAATATATCTTGACGACATTATGATCGCAACAGAAAGTGTAGAAGAACATTTAGCCACTTTAGAGGAAGTCTTTTAGAGACTAGTAAAAAATAATTTGGAGTTAAGACTAGACAAATGTGAATTTTTATACAGAAGCGTTAAATATTTAGGGTATAGGATAACCGGTGAAGGCATACAAGCAGATGACGAAGGGTTGGTGGCTGTTAAAAATTTTCCGTTGCCAAAAAATGCTCACGAGCTACAAAGTTTTCTGGGGTTATGTTCTTATTTTCGTAGATTTATAAAAAATTTTTCATTGATAGCCAAACCTTTGTATGATCTTACCAGAAAAGAAAAACGGTTTAGTATGGGTAGCGAGGAGTTAGCATCATTTGAAACACTGAAAGGAAAATTAGTAGAATCACCGATCCTTGCCTTATTTGATCCGAATGATAAGACAGAGTTACATACTGACGCGAGTAGTATTGGGTTTGGAGCTGTATTAATGCAGAAAAAAAAAGATGACAAATGGCATCCAGTATTCTTTTTCTCCAAGAGAACTACAGATACGGAGTCAAAATACCATAGTTTTGAGCTAGAAACACTAGCCATAATTTATGCGTTAGAAAGATTTCGAGTGTACTTAACGGGACGAAAGTTCAAGATAGTTACAGATTGCAATTCGTTAACACTCACACTTCAAAAAAAAGAGTTGAATCCAAGAATAGCCAGATGGGCATTGGAATTACAGAATTATGACTATGAGGTACAACATAGGTCAGGAAAGAACATGCAACACGTAGATGCGCTAAGTAGAAGCACAAATATATTAGTAGTAGAGGGAAATTCGTTCGAACAGGATTTAGTAGTATGTCAGAACAGGGACAGTAAGTTAAAAGCTCTTAAGGTGCAGTTGGAAAAGGCAGAAAGTAAAACATATGAAATGCGTAATGGTATAGTTTATAGAAAAAATAATAACAACAACCTATTATTCTGTGTCCCTGAAATAATGGAATCAAACGTATTACACAAATATCATGATGAAATGGGTCATGTAGGTGTTGACAAAACGGTAGAAATAATTTCCAAAACTTATTGGTTTCCAAACATGAAGAAAAAAGTAGACGTTCATATAAAAAATTGTTTAAAGTGTATTGCTTTTTCAGATAAAAGTGGTAGACAGGAAGGTTTTTTACACAATATTCCGAAAGGAATAAGTCCTTTTGACGTTGTTCATATCGATCATTTTGGACCGATTGAAGGAAAGAAGTGTTCTATGAAACACTTGTTAGTTGTTGTTGATGCGTGTACTAAATTTGTCAGGCTTTATCCAACAAAAACGACAAAGTCAAGGGAGGCGGTGCAAGCATTATGCGATTACTTTAGAGCTTATAGCAGACCCAGGTGTATTATTTCAGATAGAGGGTCATGTTTTACGTCTGGTGAATTCGAGTCATTTTTAAATGCTAATAACGTTCAACACATAAAAATAGCCACCGCATCTCCGCAAGCTAACGGCCAAGTAGAACGTGTTAACAGAAATCTAAAACCTATGATAGCTAAGTTAGTAAGTGCGCAGTCAGAACAAAGCTGGGACAAAGTTGTAGAAACAGTTGAATATGCCCTGAACAATACAGTTCATAGAATGATCGGTGAACATCCGAGCGTTATGTTATTTGGAGTAAATCAAAAAGGGAAAGTTATAGATAGCCTTAAATAGAACGTAGTAGATATTGAACAAAACGCACCAGAAAGGAATTTAGAGCAGCTACGACTCGTTGCAGAAGAAAAACAACAAAAAGCTCAAAAATATAATGAAAAAATTGTGAATATGAAGCGTAGAGAAGGGACAATATATAAGATAGGTGATTATGTTATGATAAGAAATTATGATACTCATATCGGAGTTTCAAAAAAACTAATACCTAAATTCAAAGGCCCTTATAAAATCACAAAATTACTTGGGAACGATAGGTTTGTAATAGAAGATGTAGAAGGGTTTCAACATTCTAAAGCGGTGTATAAAGGTATTTGGGCAGCTTCAAATATGAAACCGTGGTTTGGAAAATGTACGGTGTCAGATGACAGAGAGAAAAATGTTAATAATAATGAAAGCACTAGAATGTTAAGGTCTAAAAGTAGAAATCAAGAATCAGGAGATCCTTGAGGTCAGGATGGCCGAGTTGTAGTAGTATAAGTATTGTAGATGTATGATAGTATATAAGTATTGTAGTCATAAGATAGAATTAAGCATACACATGTAAACTAAGGTAGAATTAAGAGAAAGAATAATAAAAGAGACAGTGGCGTGACGACCGTCGAACAAAGTAGATGTTGGTTGTTTCTACTAAACTTTCAACACACACATAAACGAGTTGGATGATATATTTAACTATTTGTTGAAGACTGCCGAATACTTAAACTCGTAGTTTTATTATTAATTGTTTTAAGTTAAAATTCACAATTGTTTAGTTTTTTAAATTTATTTCTTGTACAAGGTTGATATAAATATGCTGATGCTGAATAGATTATTTTAACTTGTGCTGCTTGTAACGACACTTTTTTGGGGATGCGTTCTAATCTCAAATTTTGCTGAGTTATCCTCAGCCGTACAATAAAATTTATATTTTGCTGGAACAGAGTTTTTATAATATTATACAAAAGAAAGTTTCATTCACTTATACTTCAATATATAACAAAAAAATATATAAGTATACTATTAATTTAAATTATCTTTTTAACAAGAATCAAAGAAAATTGTTATTTACTTATACTTCAAAGTAAAAACAAAAATATATGTATGTGGTTTTACCCAACGATTTCGTTACTTAGTACACACACAATTTACAATTTACTTATATATATGGTGGGACGTTGGGACAGCGCACTGTCCAACAAGTGGCCCCACTGAAGTGAAGGATTAGTCGAAGTAGACCACGAAACGACTTGGGTCCTTTTTCGTCCTTCGTTTCTCGGATGTTGTTATTGAGTTAAAGCTGGAGTGGCTTCCGTTCGCATAACTACATCTTTTGTTAATGCAAGCATCTCATTTAGCTTGAGGTTTCCTGCCAAGTCGTCACCAACCTAATGGTGTCCCAAGACAGTCTTCCTCCTACTTGTCAGTGCTGGACATTGGCACAATATATGCACCGCTGTCTCCTTTTCTTCTAGACATAGTCTGCAAGTGTCTTCCTCAGCAAGAGTTATCTTTTTGAGGTGATACTTGAAGTTGCCATGTCCAGTAATTAGTGAGGTCAGCCAGCTTTGAGTGCTCCGCGAATAGCTAAGCACTTTTATCGGTTCCCTGGCCCACGGTTTAGGTAACATGAGTTTGGTCTGTCTACAAGTGCTCAACTCTCTCCATCTATTAAGATGAAGTGAGATTATCCACTTATTGACATAGGCTGCCGTCATGCTGTACCCCAATGGTATTCTGGGCTCCGGGCCACAGAAATTATGGCTTGATCCTTGCTTTGCAAGTTCATCTGCCTTCTCGTTTTGCTCAATACCGATGTGTCCTTTAACCCACATGATCGTCATCTCATTTCCATGAGCACATTCCATGAGCTTCGTTACACATTCTTGTACTAAGCTGTTAGTTATGTATGTCTTTTTGCATGCTTTTCAGCTTGGCTGACATCCTTTACTGGTTGTCAACCATCAGAGTTATCGCCTGTGATTCTAGCTGATGGAGTTGAGCTTGCTGTCGGAGCTTCCGGGCATCCGCCCTTATACCTCTTTGCTAGCTGTTCTTCCTCCAGCGATTATTCCACATGCGATAGTCCGCTGAGTCGATCGGATAGTTGTTCAACCGATCTTGTGGTTTTTGCAGCCTTTTGCCTCTCTCTTCTTCGCTTCTGCTTCTCCCTCTTGTTCAGACGGATACGCTCGGCCAAGTCGAGATCAGTCGTTGTCATGTTTCCAACTGTTTTGGTTAACGGCTCAGCCTCTTGCGGGGCTTCTTTGTCCACCATTTTGTTGGTTTCATGACCTTCATGCGTTGTGGTATCTGAAGCTTAGGCTATCAGCTCGGCCTGTGAGGCCTCATTGTCCACCTTATCAGCATTAACCACTTCGCCTTGAGTTGGTATATTTAAAATTTG